TCAAATATTGACGGCCCGGTGGGCGAATATAGGAGCCTGTTATGATAATATTCCTGTCATTTCATAATAATTTGTCCAGGACACATTCACACCAAATAGCCGTTGGAGTGTTAACGTCTGTTTTGCGGTAATTGAAATGCATAATATGGCATCTTGAATGCGTATAAATTTGGTTCTGAATGGTGTCAAGAGAATAAATAGTTAAATTATTCGTTTTTAATTATTATTAACTCTTTACATTATACCTTTTTTTTATACAACTTAGAATGGCAAACAAGCTGACGGCCCACCTGATGGAAAGCGGTAACCGTTGCCTATAGACATAAGCAGTACAATGGACATAACAGAGTATACTGTTTCGCCCATGATACCCCCATGCGTTGCCATTCCTGAGGACTCAGGTGTTATTCCTCTGTACCCAGTAAATTCACGCCATATCCCACCCTTCAAACCGAAACACAGCCATGCAAACACAACTGCTTCACGGTTGAAATACGAATGGGACAGAGGTGCCCAAGCAATCGACTTTTGTACAAAGTCTCCCTCTGGTAGATAGACAATTAATATTGTATGTATATTGTTGGCTTTCTTCATAAATAAGGCATAGTGTTGTATACTATTTTCATCTCTAACTATGATAATGTGAAATAAATACACAAGTAACAGGACATACAAGTAATAGAAATTTAAAGACCAATAAGAATTAATTTCGGTCTGTCTGTAATTACACAAATACTATATGTTTCGAATCCTGAAGTATTAATGTTACAGATTATTCTGTAATACCTATGGAAGCTCTCAAGTGTTGCCATTCGAGAGGACTATGGCCTGCCTCCTCCTCTGCACCCTGTAATTTCACTGCCATACCCTTTAAAACGAAGTTTTGAATAGTTCCATAATGTAATAGGTATGATTTATATGTCATCAACATAATATTAGCAGTCAACTGTTTACTGCTGAATATAGACTTCTCCCTATTAGGAGGTTTTGCTAGTAGTTGTCATGTTTGGCAGACAGGTTGGCAATCGCAGTTAGTTAGGTGTTGTATTAAGAAGGACGCTGCTGCTTATTCCTCGACCATTAAGTTCTCTTAGTCGCCTTTTACAACACCCACAGTAAAAGGAGTGGTCCATTCTATGCCGGGACTACGCAGTCATTTATATAGGATCGTATATATAATATTTGATAGTGCAATATGGCCTTGTGCTCGTGTCAATAGTTAGCGTAAGCATCACCCGCTTGACTTTTAATAGCGGCTACAAGCGAAGCTCGCATCAATCTTCGCGATCGTCACTGTCGGCGCAGACTTGCCCCCCCCATTCGATTAATCACACGGACGTTTTCGATTAGCATCGGATATCCTAAAAAATAAACATGATCTAAATTATGACTCATTCTAAATTAATATTTGCTATTTGCACTTATAATTTCTAAACAGAGCAATGTGTCAACATTTCTGTTTATATACCGAGGATGAAGTAAGAACCGGCTAACGGACAAAGTAATAAATCAGTAGAAGAAGGAAAACTCGATATAAAATTAGACTATATCCTTCTCTTGTGGTACGAGACCCGTACTTTTTTTGATGAGTGAAAATGGAATGGTTACCCCGTTTGCGCTATCGGTATATGCTGGCACGACATCAGAGAGGGATGATAGATGAGAATGGGAACAGGCCGATTAGCCTATCGTTATAAATTTGATATAAATTTACAAGGGAGAACCGCGTGGAGGTCGACTTGACAGAGTGTGTAGCTAGCAATGAAGCTATTAGATTAGATCCCATTACTAGTTAATTCCTTTCCCCCAAGTCCATTCAGCGAGGGGGTGTTAAAGGTAGTCAATGACTTAAGCTAAGATATATAAAGGATGAAGTCAAATTCATTACATTCCTTTAGGCAAGTGTTATGCCAGTGGTAACTTCTTATTCTTCTGTTCAGTTTTTTTATGTAATTTAGAATGGTAAACGAGCTGACTGCACACCAGATGGAAATTGGTAACCTTCGTCTATAGACAAGAACAGTGTAATGGGCATAACAGAGTTCCCTGGTACAGTACTTCATTAAAAGAATGCTAATGTTTTAGATTTCAGCTCCTATAGCATTCTAGGGTTGACAATGCAAGTGTCAATTTTTGCACACTGTGACCCGAATGCGTCCATTACTGATGGAGCGCACGTACAAATATATTAGAAGGAAACAGGAAGTGTCAAATGGCGTTTCGTTGTCTTACCACGGCCCAGTTCTTCGTAGCGCTAAGTGCCTTGATGTAATTGTTCGGGCAATGCAAATAGCTCGGTGTTTGATCGCGTGTAGGTACGTACAGTGCGGTGCGGCGCCGTCTTCGCTTTGGGACACTTTTGCCCATGCCTCAATGTAAACCGGACGAGTTGGACGTGATTGCTTAACGGGTTTCCCGTGTTTGCATTGTGATGTCAGATCAGTATTTCGCTGTTAGTACTGTATAGCGTTTTAATCGTCGAACGTGTGATGTGAGATCTTGTTTTATGATTTTTGTTAGTTTTATGTGAACTTGACGTGTTTTGAGTTATTCATAACAATCGTCATTATTCCTTTCTCTGTATTTGTAATTAGCGACCTACCTTGACTTCGCACGGGTTTTTTTTATGGGTAAAAATGGTATGATAACCCCGCCTGCGCTAACGGTATACGCTTGGGGAGCACCAGTGAAGGGTAATAGATGAGAATGAAAACAGGCCAGCCCATCATGATATTTTCATCAGAAATTAACCATGATAGTTTCCAGGGAGAACCGCGAGGAGGTCGACTTGGTTGGGTATATTGCTAGCAATGGGATTCTCAGTCTCCATTACTAACAATCCCTTTCCCCCCTCTTCGCACAGGTTGATAGAAAATTATATGTAGCCTACGTTAATTGCTGTTATTGTAGCTTACTATAGCTAACTTACTATAAATTAAATCATCTTCTTCCTACCAATATCCCAATTATTATTTGGGGTCGGCGTAATATGTTTTCCTCTTCCATTCTTCTCTATTCCTAGTTATTTCCGCATTCACTCACCTTCTGGCCATATCACCTTTCACACTGTCCATTCTTGCTTTTTAGGTCTTCCTCTGTCCTTATAGCTATCTACATTCATCCTTAAATGAAAGAATTTTTAAAATTGGTTATGTTGTTTAGAGTTTACCCATCTATCAGCAAACAAACAAATAAATACACAACAAAATCAGATCTTTCCCCACTATAATATTAGTATAGACAACATAAAATTTCATGTAAACTTGTAAAAGTAAACAATAAAGTTACATATTTATAAAGAAATAAAAAATAAAATCAGTTTGCATTTTTATTATTTTTCCCAATTTCGTTTTGTAATTGATCTGTAGATTTATTTACTATTACCGTGTACCTTTTTATTTTTAATTTTTTATAACTGACTAAATTTTTTGTGTTGTTATTTTGTGAGAAAAATAAATATATATATTTACTTAGTATCCTAACTTTTTTATTTTTAATCTTAAGAGTAAGAGAAAATTGCAGTTAATTCACATAAAAAAAAGTTCTTGTTCCGCAGTGCACTTTCCCGCGCATTTTCCTAACCAATCGAGCGTTTCGCCCTTTATCGGTTGAAGCTAAAGTGATACAAGTCTTTTATCACTATTTTAAATTGCAGAGTACACTTAAGTGCCGGATATCGGCGTAATTATTTGCAATGACACGTTTCTCGCAGCGGGCGTGAATTATAAATTTAGGTACATATAAACATCACAAATACCTATCACAACATTTACCTACATATATTTTTATTAACATATATGCCATATAATATTAGAAAAACTGTATAATAATACATTTATGACCTCCGGTCAATGATTGTGCGTTGTTTGCATAAGACAAAGTCGTGTCAATTTTGATAACGATTTTTTAAAAAAGGCTCGTGTATGTTTGTACCTTCATATTATGTTTATTGGCTGGTAAATATTAGTATCTCTATTAAGATTAATACAACCATGAGAGGAGCTTGTTTGTGAACCAGGCCATGAGTCAGATGGTAGGTACGTAAGTAGGTACTTCATAAACTATTTGCCAGATATAATTGATTGGAATCAGCAAAGTTTTCAATAATTGGAGAGATATTTCAAATATTGGAGTTGCCGTTTTGAAATATCAGTAAGATGGGTTACGAAGTTATTAATTTATTATTGATACATATGATATAATGATTATTTATATTTTGCTGATATATAGGTAAAAATTATTTTATAAAAAGAATATTAATTTGTAAATATGAAATATTTAAATATAAAAACGAGAACAATAAGCATAAATGAAACAATTAAAAAATGTATAATAAATGAATAATGTTGCAACTATTATGTATATATAAGTAACAATAGTAAAAATATGTACATATAGCTCATAAAATTAACACTATTGTTTTTCAATGATGATTATTATAATTATATGTATAATTGTTAGATATTAATGCAATTCCTATGTTCTTTCAAGTATGCGGGTGCACGTGGTCTCTGTGCGCTCACCGTTACAGAACATTTCCTATACATTGGAATATTAATTTAATTCTCAAACAAGACGACCAATCTAACGCAGTGGTTGATACGTTGTATTGCGTAGTCGAGGTCCCGGATTATTTATGTCATAACATGCTGTAATCTGCGGGTTTGTTCATATGAATTATGAATAAAATATTGCGAAAACGTTCAAATGCAATTTTGTTTGTTACGAAGGTACTAGGTTATGGGTCTTTTAAAGGTATTGAAGTTATACTATCCTTTGTAGTATAACATAGTATGAATAACACAGTATCTTATCTTGTAGTAAACATTTCCCTAAAAAACTCAAATTATTCTATTTCTCTGAAAATTAATATCGATTAGGTTGATGTAATTTTAATTTTCTAAGTTGCCTAAATCTAAAACTCTGACATATGTATATGTATGTAGAAAATATATTTATCAAGTAAAGTACTTTACTCATTTACTTCCTTTTTGTTACAGTTATACGAGATCAGCGACGACCCACAGAGGAAGGAGTTTCTCGATGACTTATTCTCTTTTATGCAGAAACGAGGTAAGTCTATTTTCCCACAATTTCGAATCGACATTATTAAACATGTTTTGATTAATCCTCTGTTACAATTGATGTTTCTTGTAATTTATCATGAGCCTAAATGTTTCATTCACGATCATCGATTGGAATGATATGAAACGTCCAGATAGATTAGACCAATGCAGTCATACAAACTGTTTCAAATGAGAGTTCTGGGTTCAATGGACCACAGATACAAATCAGATATAAGTTAAATCAGTCATTGGTTGTATAAACGGTTTTATATTGTGGAGATCGCTGGTAGTGTGATAAGATCACGGGTGATTGACGACTTGGAGCCGTGGTACTAAAACTGTTCGCTATTAATGAAATACGGAGTGAACACTCAAAAGAATATTAGTAACATCTGATACTGTAGCGAATGTAGAATATGTTATCAATTTAATATCTTATAGTATCTTTAATGTACATAGCATAATAAGAGGACATTCTTCGGCTGGATTTTTTGCGACAATTACAATTTAAAACAGGTTTAACTATGTTTTTAGTTTTATAATAGTCCACTGCAAATTTTATTACGGTTATAGTATTTTTAGAAAATGTTAGTAACTTTTTAATTATTGTTTCATGATCTTAGAGGAACTTTCACATTTATTATTTAATTATTAATTAGTGGCGTTGCATATACAAGTGTGGGAATTCGCCATATGGAACTCGACCATAAAGATAATCATTATATTTTAAATATCATAATAGAAATAATTAAGCAGGAGATCTCTCGATCGCCTCGGGCGTCGAGATCGTGCGCGGGCGCGTGATTGATAACTTCACATCCCTCTCTTTCTCAGTTACACATAAATCGATCTGCCGTCTCTTTTTAGCATTAATTGATCTCTGTTGTTAATGGCGCCAGCATTGTCGCTGGATAGATCATGTTGATATCTAACCGCCTTGTTGTTACTCAAATCAATAGTTTTTGTTACTGTGTTCTTTATAATTATGAATAGATTAATTTTAGGCTATCCAACTAATTTTTAATAAAGAAGTTATTTTATTGCTTAATTATATTTATAGTTAAGGCTAGCTTTTAGCATGTTACTTAGTACGCGTGGATTTTGGAAGTAAAAAAACCATTTAATAGGCCAATTTTAAACGACATATCGAGATAAAACATATACTAGATTTTAAACTAGACCTTCAGGATTACACTTATGTAAACCGAATCCAATTTCATGCAGTAGTTTCTACCAGAACAAATATACAGACTGATATACAGACATAACTAATTACAATTTTATTTTATTATCAAGATAACAATTATAATCTCTACTTGTTCTAAAGACACAGATAAAGACATAAGATTATCAAAAATCGTGTCGCGAAAACGCGGTTACAAAAAGTGGGAGTAAATTAATGACTACGCAATTAGATATAATATTGTTAGATGAACAGTTGCTATATGTATATCTAAGTCTTTTGCTTAGCTCTTGTAAATTGCATTATAAAATATAAATAACTAGTGATCCGGCCCGGCTTCACACGGTTTTTAATATTAGTGTAGACATTATGATAAAATATTTACAAAATAATTCGAATATATAAATAATAAATAACATATCTATTTTCGTATGCAAAGTACTTGGTTGTATAATTACATCGACAATAAATAATAGAATTTGTAGAATAATTTAATATATCGAATAAATTATTAAATATTTACGAACATTAAAGTATCATATTTTAACCACACATTTTAAAACACCATTAAAATTTGTTACGGCGCTTCGTAATAGTATCCTCCACACGTTGAGTGTATCACACTTCGCGATCAGAACGGCCCTGCTTATCTTGTTCGGAATAAATTATTATTCAATTTATCACATCCGAACGTACCCAATAAACTTCTGGTTGTTATTACGCGGAATAAGATAACAGCGAGAACTAATCGGCACTTGTATGAGTTTAAACGAAAATTAAATTAAGATTAGTTGTGATTTAAAAATACATAAAAATTAAGTTACATCACTTCTGTGCTATACTAAAAAGTCGAAGAAATATTTGATAAAAATAAGAACTAAAGATATTAGGAATTCTTATGCCACAGGGCGAACAACTTGAAATTAGTAGAATTAATTTATTCGACCCAGGTTAATCTCGCATATTATGTGCCTCCATCACTCCGAGTGATCTCTTCGTATTAATAATGTTTTATCATTTATTATTGCTCATGAGTAATGAAAGTTAGCCCGCCACGCCCCGCGCCGTCTCTGCACTCTGTCTTCGTCTGTGTTTAAGAAAAAAGAAATTAAAAATTTGTTTTTTTTTTTATATTAATCTTTGACGTTTAATTTAATGCCAGCGACAAACGATTATGTAAATGTTGATCAAAGTGTTTAATATACCTAGCTTGGTGGGTGTTCCAGAACTAATTAGTTTTTTTCATATTGTTGTTGTAATTAGTTGCCATTGCAAATAATTAATTATTTGATATTATTATAATTTTAAATGTTTTATCTGTTTTACCGGTACCGTCATTACGGTTTGAAAGTTTTTCAGGAAAATTACAAATAATATTAAATCAAATTCGTGACGAACTATATATCTTTGTATAATCTTCATGTTTGTGATTATTTACATAAAAGTTTGTCATGTCCGTATTAATACATATATTAGATTAAGCAATAAATGTGAAATAGGTATAAATTAATTAATTAATTTACTATATAATTAAATTTTGCATTTCGTACTGAGTTGATTACTGTTCCACTTTTATTATAGGATCACTTTGTCTATCTGTTTTCACGTCACACTAATTTAGGTCCTATTGTGGCTTTATACTATTCTTATACCTTACATAAAAAGTAGGGTTTTTATTAAATTAGCAACGGACGGAACCCTCATGCCTCGCATCCTACTCGCACATGTCCCGGTTTTTTAAGATTATTATCGTAGTCAATGAGCATGTAAGTGGGGGTGCGCGGGGTTGAGGCGTGAGCTGCACCGTGTACCACGTGACCGTCTCGTTAGCAGCTGATTGATCGGCCATCGGTCCGCTTCTGCTTATGTACAGGATGTGCACTAATTCTGTTGCGTACAACGACACTGGTCCACACAAAACCGGATAAAATTAACCTTATGTCAATGGATTAGGCCTTGATCTTGAACAAATTGCAAGTGTTACTCGTCATCACTATTTGAGACGCGGTTGTAGTTATTTATCTTTCGTTCAAATAATTTAATAAAAGTCTAAACAAGATTTTCTGTTATCTTATTTTAAAAATATTATAAAATTAAATGATGCGTTATTTTAATAAACATTTTTAAATTGTAGAAAATACAGAAATTACTTTCTAGTAGTTAATGTCAATTACTTAAAAAAAAGGACAAAAGTATAGGTTAAGTGTAGGTTTATTTTATAATGAGATTTTTAGTAATGTCTAATTTTCAATATTAAAATTTAAAGATACAGAAATTCACGATTTAAATTTGTTAAATTAAAAAAAAATAGGTATTATAGATAGAATAATATAAAATTAATTTTTTGATGACCATTTTAAAACATCACCATGTAGATCCACACCTATTGTTTCACTTGTTAATAGCGAGTGTGGTATAACTAATAACATCTCATTCGGATTCATTTCCCGTGATTAATTATCTGTTTAATCGATATAAGATGTTGTGCCAACAGCCTTCTCATGTTTCTACCTACTTGTGAACATGCAACTTGCACCTTACTTAGACCCGGTAAGGTTCATTGTTCATTGGTATATCACTGATGATAGATTAGGTTAAAGAGTTGATCTATCAATTTTTTTTCATTTCATTGAAGATAGCTTTTGTTGGGGGTTTAATTGGTGTCTTAAACTGGCTTGTAGTTAATTCGATTTCGGGCTGAGCCGGCGCTCATTTGTTTTTGTCTGCTTACTCTTTAGTCGGACGAGTGTTAATCTAAACTTGATTGATTAGATGAGACTCGATATTTTAGGGCGGGGACGTTATTACGATTATTCCATTTTGAAAGGTTTGTAACCTATGTGGATTTAGTCGACAAAAAAGGAATTTTGTGTCTGTGCTTATTAGGTTTTTAATTAGATAATTTTCATGACGAGCGCATGTTAAACTTGGGTACAAATGTATATTATGATAAGGTCCGAACAAATTCATTGAGATTTTATTAAACCCATATATTTTTATACTAAATAGTTTTGTGTAAACACTCTGGGCTTATAACTAATAAAACCTTAGAAATACGTTTTAAAACGTATATTTTCAGACAAAATAAAGCGATGGTGAGAGTGCTCAAATAGGAACATCTTCCATCAATTTAATTTTATCGACTTAATTTTTTTTTAGAATATGTAAACCTTGTATATTTTCGTAATATGTAGTTTATAAAGATAACTTAGCTAGCCAACTGGTAAAAATATAAAATTGTTGTAGAGGTACATTAAAAATTATAAGATTTAAAAATAATCTTTACCCGAAGAGCTGAAAATGGAGGGCCAGACTAAGATCTGAAATCGATTAGTAGAGAACTTTAGTATTATAATATTTATTCTTGGGATATGACCTCCGTTGACCCTAACATTGGATTATTTTTGACTTTTTTGAGGAAAATAAATGAATAACTAGGACACTGATTATATTTTAACCGACTTTAAAAAATGGAGGAGGTTCTATATTCGTAGATTTTTTTGTATGTTTCCTGATTACGCGAAGATGCCTAGACTGATTAGGAAAATGATTTTTTTATCCGGAAGGATATACTTTCGGGTTGGTCCCATAGACATATTTATTAAAAATGGGTTCAGTGGTTTAATTTTTAAATCAAAATAACTGTATTATTTAAATAGAAATATTGGATTTTGCCACGATCGAAGTTTTTTTTTGTAGAACAAAATCTTAAATTATATATACACTATACTATATTATTATTATAGTATATTACACTGGTTAAACTAATGCGTATTGTCACAGTCGTCTCAGTTTTAAATAACTTTAGATTAATGATCTGAAGT